CAGGTTTGTTTACACGTCCAAGAAAATCTCCTCTTTTATAACCTTCTTCCCTCTGTGACCAACTGACTGACTGACCGACCAGCTTAATGATGTTGATGTCAGAACTTGGCGACCTAACAAGGAAACATTTGGCGATCTTTTCCCGTTGAGCAGCAGGAGACAAGATATCATTAGTACAAATTTTCCAGAAAAACTTGACGCAAAATATACCACTGGTGCATCTAATCTTGGCGCAAAAATATACCACTGATGGATCTTTGAATATAACACACCATTTCCTAGTAAAGTAAAAGAGTGAGGGAAAATACCGAGGTGAGGGTATTGTCACTACGCCGTGTTATTTCCTGGTGGGATAATGGAGAGGAAACATTGTGAAGGTGATTTTTTTTTTCAAGGATTAAGATTCATACTGGAACGAGTAAGTAATTTCTGTAGATTTTTCACTGAGAGAGAGAGAGATTCGAGATGTTATTAGGAAGCACAGTAGAAAAACCTGAAGGAGAAAATAAGATTAATAAGTCACCTCCCCGGCGTAATAACACGAAGGTAATTTCCAAGCTCCATTACCCTGGGCTCAGCGCTGACTAGAGAGGCGAGGCTGTGGTACATACTATATCTAATCCAGGTTCATCATCCCAGAGGGTAAATAAGACCGCTCCACCTCACACCACTGAAGCCTGACCTTAATAACAAATAGAAATCGGAGAAATTTTTAAAGTCTTCTGGATACCAGGAGGCAGCGTAGCCCAGTACAAAGCCATACAAACCCACGTAAACCCACACATACACCCAAACTCAGCTACAGGAATAAATAAATGGACGTACTGCTGATGGCGAGTGATGCTGTGGGTCCATACGAATCGAACAGACTGGTATCTTAGGGAGGACATATTGTGGACGGGGGAACACCATGGCAGAACAACACATCCACTACAGCAGTTAAGAGAAGACTAGGGCACTGGGTAGCTACCTTGAGCCTTGTGGGAAAATGCTAGCAAGATTAAAATATACATGCTAACTCTTACATGTATTTAATAACTAGTGACAAAAACATAGTGAACACTTCCCGAATCGTGATGGAGAGGGAGAGGTCAAAGCCTGCATGCCACGAGCCTACAAGCTGCCACCCTCCTTTGATAATCCAGGTGAGTTGCCGCAGTGTCTCGCCTCAACTGTGAACGTCATTTCCTTCCTCTAGGGCTAGTGTGTGTGTGTGTGTGTGTGTGTGTGTGTGTGATCCTCTAGCACGTTTCATGTAGGCAATATATTGTTCCAGGTATACATGGCGGAGTATATTAATTATGCTTCAGTATGTATTTATAAGTATAACAGACCATATAATATCATCATCAAGGTAACATTTCCTATAGGTGTTAATGTTATACAGGTGACAAATTATACACACAAGTCTACCTGGATATAGCGTACTTTCCCTTAACTTTTATGTACGTTCTCTTCGGTCTGTCCGGTGATCACGTACGGTATACAACTAACGAACCGTACTAGAAAGCCATGAGCCGTAATGGAAAGCACATGTCATGACTACTTTATGGTGCAGTTGGTGAGGCTGAATTCAACTGGTGCGGTAAGGAAGCGGTCATTCACGAGATGTTTTCACCAAATTTCTAGACACGGTTTTTTTTTTTTTTGGTCTTTGTCTGAAAGTTTATATGTCGTTTGGGTTTAATTATACTGTTAGCTGGAGCTTCTTGGTATAGATGGCATAGATCACACACACACACACACACACACACACACACACACACACACACAAGTTTACATAAAAGAGTACATGCACACACACTCTTACACCCACTACATAGTCCGCACACACAAAAACTAACCTACATAAAACACACACACACGACTGTCCATACCGAGTGCACTAGGGGTAGAACAGAACGCCTCTCCTCACTCACTTACAGCACTGCACTGTGGTAATTTCCTGAAGCTCCTCGTATGCCCCTTTGTTGACGGGATACAATACGAGCCTTAAAAAACGGGAGAGTTTAGCTCTAACATGTTGTACCCTGTTAAAACGTATCATACTTTACCCCGCAAACATTAGCTTTTATTACAACTCTCTCTGTCTGTCATCCCACTCTCTCTACCTCTCTCTCCTCCCCCCCCCCTTTTTCTCACACACACTCAAGTCGGTATTTATATGTTATCCGGCCGGTAGTTATTTGGTAGCGAGTAATGTAATGCACGCAACCCTTCCTCACAGACCGTATAAACTCGAGGGATCACACGGGAGACTTAACAGACCCACCCACTACCCTTGATGTGACCACCGTGTACGACCACCTCTAACACGGGTGTACACGGCTTCAAGGAGGAGGAGGTGGAGGTGGTGGTGGGGGTGCATTTCAGGGGTTCAAAGGTGGCACACGAAGACGAACACAGACAGAGGGGCAAACAAACAGACAAGCACACACACAATCATCCCCCTCTGAAGTAATCCACCTCAAACCTAAAAAGAAGACTGCTATAGCCCCCAGGCAGTGGTAATAACAAGGAGATGACGAAAGCTGCTGCAACCAATAAGAAACCCGGACAACAGGACCAATAACAACCCGTGAGTCAACACAAGAGCTTCTATGTGCAGTTATGGTCAAGGAGCTATAGTGGTGTGTGTGTGTGTGTGTGTGTCGTTATGATCTCTCTCTCTCTCTCTCTCTCGCACACACACGCTAAATTCCCCGCTAATATCATCCCTCATTACTAACTCAATCTTTTGAAGCCAAGAGGAAAATAATCCCTAAGATGTGTGCCTTTAATATCCCTCATTAATTCCATCTAATTACCTGATGGAAGATTAATTAGCTGTCCGTCCCTCACACGACACCTGGGGGCGTCGGGGCGTGTTTGTGTCGTGTACAACTCTCTCTCTCTCTCTCTCTCTCTCTCTCTCTAAACGACTAACATTCACTTGTGACAATAATAACAATCACATATCATCTACGGCTTCACAATACTGAGAGAGAGAGAGATGAATTTCTACACTCGTTTTACACAACTCTTCATCAAGTTCTCTTCCCTCACATTTATTCATTAGGTAGGTGTGTGTGTGTGTGTGTGTGTGTGTGTGTGTGTGTGTGTGTGTGTGCGTGTGTGTGTGTTGATCCGCGCCCCAAGACATAATATAGTATTCTTATAAATAAATTAACAAACAAGAGACCTGTCATTATCTTGTCATATTTTTATTTACTTTTGTTTGAATTAATAGCTGTGTTTCATAAAATTGAGTGTACACATTTTTCTGTTTGCAACATATACACAGACTAGTAAAATATTTCCCCAGACTATAACATATACGTGTACAGGAAATACAGAAATGCACTAAAACTAAGTCGAGAGGAATATTTTCAAACTAGGGTTTTCCATTAAAAGTTACCTGTATATTTTAAGTGATCCCGGGGAGAAATATCTCTCTCTCTCTCTCTCTCTCTCTCTCTCTCACTCACTCGATCCTACCAAGGGCGTGAGGAGCTATCTACCACGCCGCCGCACACCTTTTGCCACGAATACTCACCTCTTCATTATGTGGACGCAGCATTTAATATTTTATTTAGCTAACGACAGATGATTTTTATTCAGCAGAGAGGCGGACCCTGTACAGAAATGGGTTAGCGATCGCCAATTAGACTCCAATATATAAGTCATCGTATACGGCTATTGTAAACAAGCCCTCAGTTGAAAGAACAGTGTGCGTCTTGTCTTCGTCCTGCACTGCTCACCAGGGTTAATATAACCATTGTAATACAACTTCTCAACAGCTCAATTATTTCGTGTTGTGTAAAAGCGGTGGAACTATCGGGGACTTGCAGTTAAGTTCGATAAATTAAGAGCGTGCAACATAGGGAAGCCAAGTTGATATCTCACGGGATCACTGTAAGTTTACCTTCAAGCCACGCAGGTTAAAATATCTGGGTGAGGGGGGGGGGGAGAGGGGTTTTGAGGGGTGAGGGAGAGGAGGGGGGATTGTGGGGTAAAGTTTCCTCATTTAAGTTTGAAGACGTGAATACTGGGGATCTATATGTTAAGTGTGTTTTGTATCAAGTTATTATACAATCTGCCTTCAATCATTCTCTGTGTGATCAGTTAATGTCTCTGGTTTAAATTTTTTGAAGGTTTTATTATTGTTTTTACCACAAGTGTATACGGGGACACACACACACAGATAATAATAAATCCGTGTGTGTGTGTGTATAAGCACTGCAGGTAATCCCAGTAAGCATCAACCTGATTAACTGCAGTGTTGGTCAAGAACACACCTTCGCCCGCCACCGTCTTGTCAGTACAGTATTGGCCAAGAACCATATAGTAATAATATCTTTCTTAGTCGATATATTCCCCAGTCAATGAAGCTTTCTCTCCCACACTGACTTAGGGTGTGGTATAGATCTGCCATCCATTTAAACTAAACCAAACCTGAATCTAATTGAATCTCGAATTACAAGCAGATATTTTTATCCGATTTCTATATATTTTTATTTTATGATTATTCTAAGTCCTTTAAACTTGATTTCTGTAACTAATGATCTTATCTGGTTATTAGAAGCCCTGGCAATCTAATTTACGTAATAGTGAACGACCCAACCGTGTTTAAGAGTATCATATTCCTTAATGTTCTTTGTTGAAACTATCAGTCACTCGGTCGCTCTCTCCCTCCCCCTCTATCCATCCTTCACCTGTGTTTACATGGACAAACTTCTGGTGAAACTGGACCCCCAAGAAGCACTTGAGTCCTCTTACACATTTTATTCTTCCTAGAGACCTTTCCCTCCCTCCCTCCCTCCCTCCCTCCCTCCTTCCAGCTACGTTTCCCGACCATCAACCTATGTAGTTGTACACCACGAATGTAAGACGTGGTTAGGGTGGTTAGGACCTATAATAATCAAACCTAACTAATAACCAATTCTGTACAGATCTTCAGACCAAAAAAAATAAAAAATTCACACACACACACACAGTAAGCAAGGCTGTACTGTACTCACCATCAGTGTTGACCGGCCGGAGAAGGGCGGCCCAGGCGACACGACACTGTAAGGACACCGTCAGCAGCACCAGGAGAAGGAGGCGGAGGAAGGGCGGGATACCACACGCCGCCCCCACACACGCCCATGTTCCCCTGACCGCCATGCTGGGGCCCCCTGACGACGCCTTCTGTGTAAGATAAAATGAAGAGGAGGTAAATACTGAACAGGGTTTACAGTACTGAGGAGTTACATCACGTTTGATTATACCTGTACTTTGGTATCACACACACACAGAGCCTGGCAAGACGTACGTTCTGACTTACTATCCGAATGATCGCTGGCTGAGGCTCACGGCACCCTAACACACTACTACATACTGGGCTGTTGTGTTAAAATCATGTTAAGAGTAGTGATGGATCAACACACAAGAAAATTAGTCACAGAGTAAATGAGTTTAGGCGATTGAATGAGAAGCAAGCAGCGTAGAGGTGATATTAATGTACTAGCGTGTTATTAAACTACAGGTGGTCACAGGTATGTTACTAATTTATAGCTAGTCAAATGTGTTACTGAATTACAGGTATTTACGAGTATGTTATTGAATTACGAGTCACTTTGGTAATGGAGTTTGTATACAGTAAAATTGGGAGCAGCAACAGTTAAGAGAAAACACACCGCTAATGACGACACGTTTTTGTTCACTTTGTCCACGAAGGTAAAATTACCGAAATGAGCAGACAACATTCCATTAGCGATTCTCTCTTCCTCCCCTTTCTCCTTCCCACTTTTTACTTTCCTCTCCCACTCTCCCTCCCACCTACTTCTCTCCAACCTCCTTTCTCACTCACTCACTCTCCATTCCACCCCTCACTTTCTCAGTCATCCACCTCTCTCTACATCTTCCCTCCCTCCACTCTTAACTACCCTTCCTACCCCTCCCCCTCTCTCACTTCCACCTTCCCTCTCTGTTTTTAGATACCAGAGGATAGCATAACCAGCACGCACGCACGCACGCACGCACACACACACACGTCTTATGACAGCCTCCTAACCCCTCCTTCCCAGCTCACTCCAAAGAGATCAAAATAAAAGTCAACTCATTTCACTCACTACCTCCTTCAACGTTTAAGAGTCTAGACCAATGAAAACGTCTCTTGGACACTTTGTTTACCTACCAGCTATAGCGCGAACCACTCTCCTTTCTCACTCCCAAGGCCATTAAAAAATATTACCAAGCTTAGTTGATAGATCACTTGAGTGAATAGTGAAGATAAATAAAATGAAGTGGATTAAATAAATGATGGGTAGCCTCCCAAAGCTCCATAAACCAAATTTCACCCTTAAAGACGTAGACTATATATATAAGCCTATCTCTAAATAGCCCGGAAACTCAGCCACAAAGACTACTATAAAGAAAGGAGGGAGAGTCTTTGAGAGCCAAGACCCCTTTGTTGACGCTGGTGGGGCATAAGAACACTATGATGTGTTTTGGTTGAGGGGGAATATGGAAATAAAGGTCAGTGTGTTTTGGTAACATTATTATGAATGTGAGGCGGGAGGGGGGTGGAAGGGTGGGAGAGAAGGGGTGGAAGGGTGGAGAAGGAGGGGTGGAAGGTGGGAGAGGAAGGGAGAGGGGAAGGGAAGAGAGAGGGGAAGGGAAGAGCGAGAGATTTAAATCCTTCAATGTCATGATTCAGTATCAAACGTCAGCGCCATTAGAGTCAACCATATCATCAGAAGTAGTCTCAACCACTACAGTATACCAGAATAACAACCACCATGTTCAGCATTAAACACACACACACACACACGTCTAGGTACACATAGGCCCCTACAGTGTAAACAGACGTACATGAGAGACGACGTTCAAGAATCGATGATAATAATAATAATAATAATAATAATAATTTCTTACATATACAGTATATATAAGTTTCATTTGGTGTTAACATACGGTATTAATCCAAACCAAAATTTCATAAAAAATAAAAATAAAAACACCGGCTATTAATTTAGTGACGTGTTTACTCAGGCCAGCAATCCATTAAGTGATGATTTTGGCGCGGGAGCCTCACCAAATTTAACTATTTTCATATTCCTTTTGAACACCGTGATGGGTATATATTTTTCTTCTAAACTTTCACGTAAAACTATCATGGGTAATCAACTCCGTATTTAACATTTGCGTCATCCTTTCTATGTAATGTTTAGTATAGAAATAGCCCCATTTGTCGCGGTCAGCAATAATTAAGGTAACAATTATAATATTCACAATTACCTTTGAAGTTCACCTTAGTCCCACAGGATCTGGTCACACGTAAAGGAATCTGAGTCACACTGTTGAAGGTAGTGTGTCTGCGGGTTCAGTGTTTTTGGTAGCTGTACAGTCCTTCAATACCACTGCTACGAGAGAGAGAGAGAGAGAGAGAGAGAGAGAGAGAGAGAGAGAGGAATCGGTGTCCATAGCAACATTTTTATACACGTCTTCTGAAGTTAATTTCCTCTTGGGGGAGGTAGCAACTTTTGTGGTGTTGGAAGAAAGAGAGAATACCGGGTGAGATAAAAGGTAGCGCCGCGATGCTTCCTGAGCGAGATAGTTACTGTACTGGCTGGCCCTGAGTCTTACCTGTTGATACACACATGCCAGAATACCTAGACAACACCACAGCAGGTATAGGATGACACACACACACACACACACACACACACACACACACACACACACACACACACACACACACACACACACACACACACACACACACACACACACACACACACACACACACACACACACACACACACACACACACACACACACACACACACACACACACACACACACACACACACACACACACACACACACACACACACTGTCTCGTCGTAAAAAATAATAAGTAGACGATGTTCCATGAATTCCTTCTGCGTGTTGATGGGGTCACACTGCAGTGGCTGGGGGAGTGATATTGCCCATGCGTGTACAAAGACGGTAATGTTGTGTCTCGGGTACCCCAAAATAACATGGCAGGTCAGTTGTGAGGCTTTAAGATGACCCCTGGTACAAGATTTCTTCCAAGTTTATTTTACAGACACAGACCCAGACCCACACGTATACACAGACCCACACGTATACTCACACCCACCCACACATAAAGTGCCAATGAAATATAAACTGGAAATATTTCAACACATTAAACACAACAATAAAACAGTCGTATACCAAACACCCGACATAAATTCCAAAGCATATCTGGTGGCTTTTATTACACAACTACCACCATCACTATCACCCCCACCACCACCACTATCACATCCACCCCCACCCCCATCAAACTGTCTCACATTACAGGAATACATCTCCACATTTACCACAGCTTTAGAAGAGCCGGCCTGGGCTATAGGTAAACAGAGAGAAGTACACGGCTCCTGGGTTATAGTCACCGGTTGTTCGTGAGGCACTGCTGCTATTAGTCTCTTCGTGTTCGTCTCCTATCTGCCTAAGAGAGTATATTCACACAAGTATACACACGCCCCTACATTCACACATTTGTAAACACCTTCAAACACGTACACATTACAGTATATTCACAGTCGTCTATTCAATTCAATACACACACATACACACTCGTCAAGTTGTCCACATATACCTAGACACATCCACACACAAGCCTTCACCCCCCTCCCCACAAGGTCTTTACGCACGCACACACACATTCCCCCCCCCCTCCCCACAAGGTCTTTAGGCACGCACACACACACATGCCTTCACATTGGCTTACATGAGCACACACCCACACATGCGCGCGCTTGACTTGAATCTCTCTCTCATCCCCCGGTTAACTTATCATCATTAATCCTCAACACAAACGCCCTTTGCTGGATCAAACTAAACCTAGGTTATATGCTTCGTGTCCCGGTTTTGCCCCAACAGCTTACACAGCGCCAGTAACCAGTAGGGGCGATAATCCCTCCCACAACGTCGCAGATCATCGCCCATATAAGCACGTTAATACCCAGATCAGCGGGAGTTACCCATTACAATTATCGAACAACCAGGGCAGCGGATTCTTAAACGTTAGGTTATCAAGGAACAGATGGCAGGTTAGGTTAGGTTAGGTTATCAAGGAACAGATGGTAGGTTAAGTATCATTCATATTAACACCGATTTTTTTTATAGCAAACCTAAATGAACTGTTTTACTACCTGGCTATGTGGAAGAAGTGTCTTTGATGAACGAATCTTTGGGGAATATGGACTCTTAACATTCCCCCAGAGAAAGCGCGGGGCTATCTGATTCTCTCTCGGGTAGGGGGGAGGACCTTTACTAATCCCACCAAACCACCCACCTCTCTCTGGGGGCAACATCAATCACGACCACCCACCTCTCTCTGGGGGCAACAACAATCACGACCACCCACCTCTCTCTGGGGGCAACATCAATCACAACCACCCACCTTTCTCGTGGTGGTGTGGGGGGGGGGGATAATCTCTTCTTCACGATCATCCAACCACCCATCCCTCTCTCTCTCTCTGGGAGGGGGGGGGGCACCTCACACACCCCCCGGCACTACCTCTCCCTGGGATAGATCAGTCAAAATATTAGCTTAATCCCTTGAAACGAAGTAATAGACCTACATCACCTCATCCGTTCTTGTGTTAGCTCTTATCATTTAAGTTATACAGCTCCCAGGACACACCAACGACTTGATCAACAGCCGGGCAAGATAGTGATAATTACTCCCCTTCAAGCCCGGGATAAGAGAAAGACTAAACGCTTCTATTATCACCTCTCATAACGCAGAGAGGGTGGCCAAGAATAACAGCAAAATTATATGATAAATTTATTTTTCTTTTTAGTGGGGGGTGGGGAGGAAGAGTGAGGAGAGGGAGAAGGGGTGAGGGGAGAGGAGGGGAGAGGGGTGAGGGGAGAGGGGAGGGAGGAAGGGGTGGGGAGGGTGAAGGGGGAGGGAGAAGGGGTGAGGAGGGAGAGGGTGAGGGGAGGGAGGGGTGAGGGGAGGGAGGAGAGGGAGGAGAAGGTGAGGGAGGGGAGAAGGGGTGAGGAGAGGAGGAGGAGAAGGGGTGAAGAGGAGGAGGGGTGAGAAAGGGGTAACGGGAAAATCAATAAACCAATATCTGAATAAATCAAGACGGGGACCATTTTTAACACCTATGAGCTCCGACTAC